GTCATGTGCAATAACTCTGCTAGGGGCATCTCAACATACTAGAGAAAAGAAACCAATGCTTATGGTGGAGGCATATCAGGACATGCTCTTGGAATGCTACACAAAACCCCCATGAACTGAAAATGGCAAAATTTTGAATTTGGAAAACCCCAGTGTATCCCATTCTGATTCTTACTGACAAACCACAACAAATCTACCAGGAAAAATTACACCCAACCCTGGCATTTACAATAAAGGTTGAGGAGAAAAAGGAACAAGTGTTTAAAACTGTGGTTTCAATGAAAATAGTGGAACTCTATGAAATGTGATAAGGAGCTTCTGCAAACACACTTTCAAGGCTCAGTATGGGAGAGATACAACATTCTGCTCGACTGGCTATACTGTTCCATTAAGTACAATTCTGTTATCAGTTACACACCCTCACGTTGTTCCAAACCTGTGTGACTTTCTTATGCAAAAGAAGGTATTTTGAAGAATGTTTCAACTATTTTAATCGATACAATGGACCCACTGGCTTTTATTGTATGGTCAAAAAATACTAGAAAGAAAGGCATTTTTTATTATTTTTAGGTGACCTATGCCTTTAAAGGGACTATTTATAAAGAAAAATAATAAAGAAAGGACTAAGGGAGGGTTAAAGAGACGCCCAAATTTGACTTTTCACTGCACTGGAAGGGCAGAACAGTCATTGGGGTTAATGTATAATCCTAGAATCATCCCCAACTTCTAAATGACACACTCCATAAACCCCTGCAATTTCGCTGTCTGTCCCTTATGAAGCCGTTCACTGCAGTACCTTTTCCAAAAGAGAACTGCTGACACACTGCTAACTCAGCAACACTTTATACATGCACACACATGCACGAGCAAACAGATGCACCATGTGCACACACACAAATCTAAACACACAGGCTGAACCTTATGTTCTCATGGTGCATTGTAAACTCGTTCATTTCAGATCACGGTATAGGACATTCTAGTACTGTATGAATTGATAGTATATTGATTTTGGTTCTCTTTTACAAACCTGTCCAAGGAAGTTTTATTTATAACAGAGGGTTTTGTTATAGCAGCCCTTTAAAAGCAAGTGAATTAGCTGAAATGTATAATGGGACAGTGGAGTGCAGCAACAAAGGTACAACAGCAATACCAGAGCAGAGGCAAAGCATGCAAAGAGAGGAAGCAAGTACCTCTAAACCATTAAGAAAAATCCAAAATGATTCAAACAGGGTAACTGGATCCCACTTCAGATTCTTACTTTATTTATTTAAAAGGCAAGTGTACCTCACTCACATGCTTCAAATGTTTCTCATTCCGATCTCCAGACAAACAGAGACCTCTGTGGGTGACAGTACTTCATTTAGGAAGCCCCAGGGATCTGGAGGGGGTCATCCATACCATACCCCCCTTCATACAACTAATCAAATATGACAAATAACAAAACAGAAAAACAAACAATGACCTCTGCAGGGAACTTTCCCCTCATCCTCCGTAAACCCTCCACATGTATCAGCATGCTTCATCTTGATTAAACATACACTGCTGGAAGTTCCTTTAACACTGGTGCCGTTCAAACAACCCCTTCGGCAGAAATTCTAGCAAAACGAACACTTGTGTACTTTATAAATACATATATGGACATTCCTCAACGTATCTCTTTTCTATCAACTCCTTTTTCTTTCTTTTCTAGTCATCTCATGGTTTTGAATGCTGAACAGTTTTTAAAGAGATTTTTGCATTAGAGATTTTTCTCTCTTCCTCACAATTTCAACACTTATCAAGCCTTTAAGTTTAGAGTCTTTTACGTATGCCAAAAACATACAACAAATGAACATATCGATTTATCTATCTACCTTTAAGTCCATCCATCCAACCATTTATTCATCTGTATCTGTCCATCAATCCATTCAACTATATTTCAATCTATCCACCTATCTATTCATCTGTTCATTATTTATCCATCCGTATAATGGGACAGTGGAGTGCAGCAACAAAGGTACAACAGCAATACCAGAGCAGAGGCAAAGCATGCAAAGAGAGGAAGCAAGTACCTCTAAACCATTAAGAAAAATCCAAAATGATTCAAACAGGGTAACTGGATCCCACTTCAGATTCTTACTTTATTTATTTAAAAGGCAAGTGTACCTCACTCACATGCTTCAAATGTTTCTCATTCCGATCTCCAGACAAACAGAGACCTCTGTGGGTGACAGTACTTCATTTAGGAAGCCCCAGGGATCTGGAGGGGGTCATCCATACCATACCCCCCTTCATACAACTAATCAAATATGACAAATAACAAAACAGAAAAACAAACAATGACCTCTGCAGGGAACTTTCCCCTCATCCTCCGTAAACCCTCCACATGTATCAGCATGCTTCATCTTGATTAAACATACACTGCTGGAAGTTCCTTTAACACTGGTGCCGTTCAAACAACCCCTTCGGCAGAAATTCTAGCAAAACGAACACTTGTGTACTTTATAAATACATATATGGACATTCCTCAATGTATCTCTTTTCTATCAACTCCTTTTTCTTTCTTTTCTAGTCATCTCATGGTTTTGAATGCTGAACAGTTTTTTTAAAGAGTTTTTTGCATGCAGGGAACTTTCCCCTCATCCTCCGTAAACCCTCCACATGTATCAGCATGCTTCATCTTGATTAAACATACACTGCTGGAAGTTCCTTTAACACTGGTGCCGTTCAAACAACCCCTTCGGCAGAAATTCTAGCAAAACGAACACTTGTGTACTTTATAAATACATATATGGACATTCCTCAACGTATCTCTTTTCTATCAACTCCTTTTTCTTTCTTTTCTAGTCATCTCATGGTTTTGAATGCTGAACAGTTTTTAAAGAGATTTTTGCATTAGAGATTTTTCTCTCTTCCTCACAATTTCAACACTTATCAAGCCTTTAAGTTTAGAGTCTTTTACGTATGCCAAAAACATACAACAAATGAACATATCGATTTATCTATCTACCTTTAAGTCCATCCATCCAACCATTTATTCATCTGTATCTGTCCATCAATCCATTCAACTATATTTCAATCTATCCACCTATCTATTCATCTGTTCATTATTTATCCATCCGTCCAACTATTTGTTTATCCTCGGACCACTCATCCATGCATCCCCCTACATTCATCTATTAATTCATCCATCCATCCCTCCGTCCATCTAACTCTCAATCCATTTGTCCATCCATCAATTCATCCATCTATCTATCATTCCTCTAACCCTTCTAATATGCACCCATTTAATCCTGCATCCATTTGTCCATCCATTATTAAATCCAAAATCTATCTTTATTTTTCTACCCTGCCAATCATTTGTTAATGCATCCATCCATCTATCTATTCCTCCATCTATCTATCTATCCATCTATCTATGTCTATCTGTTGCACTCCCTTCCTCCAACTATTCACCTATTCATAAATCCATCCATCCAACCCCATCTATCTATCTATCTATCTATCTATCTATCTATCTATCTATCTATCAGTATTTGCACATTTATTTGCACCCTTCATCTGTTTCCATCAGTCCAATTCATCCATCCATTCTGCATTCATCCAACCTTCTTTCTATCCATGCTTCCCTCAGACTTCCCTAATCTTCCGCCTGTTCATCTATCCGTTATTACATGCACCTTTTCGTTCAACCTACATTCATTCATTCATCCATCCCTCAGTTTATCTAAGGTCAGGTGCGGAGAGGAGAGATAGCGGTCACTTACTTTGACACTTTAGCGCAGCGCTGCTGATCTGGCGGTTGCAGGCGTCGCACCAATCTTGGCTCAGCCGTCTGGAGATGAAGATGTGGCCCTCTCCCTTCTCTGCCTTCACCCTGGGGTCTCTCTGGTTGAAGATGGACCATGCCTCCCTCCTGAGAGGCTCGCTTCGCATCTTCACTACTCCCGACCTTGCCTGTGTCAGCTTGTCGATCGCCAGTCCTTCCAGTTCGTCTGTCGGGCAGCTGAAGTTTGACCGCGCCGAGGCATTGCGAACATCTTGTGGGGATGAAGACGCATGGATCTTTGCCGTGTCCTTCACCGAGCTTCTCCGGCTCCCGGCACTGTGTCTGCGAAATATCACGTCATTATTGTTCGCGTTTTCTCGGTCCATGTCCACAACAGGTCCGTCCATATTACTACGTGGCGAGCCGCCACGGCTGTGTGATGCTGAAGGCGGATCGTGATTGAATAACGCGAGCGATGCTGAGACTGCGGCTCTCCTGCTGTCCATATCACTCGCTCTGTATCGCGTGATGATCTTGTCCAGAGACCATTTACGCGTGAATTTCTTCCTGTCGCTCGACTTCAGTTTGTGGAATAGTTGCTGATCCGAGTCGAGGTGGTGTTGAGCAGGGTGCTGTCCTAAAGTGACGGACGCCATTTCGGCTAAGAGTTGTAGGTGGGCAGAATATAAACTAAATTGAAGCGCCAGCGGCGAGAGTGTGACGCGCACACGGAATCAGCTGCGCGCTTTAAATGTCACTGGCTGCGCTAACCTGCCCCTCACAAAGCAATGATTGTCGCTCACTTCTGTTATTCCACTAAACACTAGAAGAAAGAGAATTTTAAAACGCCAAGGCTGCCCTCACAAACTCATGATTTTGTCGATCACTTCTGTTATTCCAACTAAATATGAGAAATTGAGAATTTTAAAGGTGCCATGAATAAACGTTGTTGCCACCGTTTATGAGAATCTCATATACAACTCTTATTTAAAAATTTTTTTTTACATTTATTTTGTTTAGATGAATAGTCACACCCGGATCGCGATCGCGGGGCCCCCTCCTGGAGATTTGCTTAGGGCCCCCATAACGTAAACATGCCCCTGCACATTTCAAATATGTCATTTGCATTATCGTGCATTTTTATAACTATTTTTGCTTCATTATCTATATTATATATTAACATCTGAAATATACATACATACATTAAAATATATATATATTTAAATAAAAAATGATTTTCACCAATTGTGTTCATATATTTATTAGCGCCATATATACTCTGTCAAGTATCACTTTACATTTAAAGGGTACCTCTTACCTCACAATACAGAAGTGAAGATGTAAAAAAACAAAAAAAAACATTTAACACACAAGTTTACAAACTGGCAAAAGGAAAGTTGATAAAATTCAATTTTAAGTCAAACATATGCAAGCTTTGACAAACAAAGCGTGGTCTCTGTAAGGTCACCATAGTTGCCCCAGGAAGAGGAATTCCCCTTAACTCACACTCTGTAATGTGCCACCAGAACCCACCAAACACATCATTCACTTTCCATATTGTAATGATATGTAACACAGCAAGGTATAAGTCTATTGCCTTGTCAGTATTTGCAGGATGATAATATTTGGAGTCATTTGTACAGTTCACACATTTTTCAAAGGCCCTGGTAAACATTGTCAAATAAACAAAGCCTCCTCTAGAGCTCCATGCTGTGTGATACTCTGTTGTGATCAATAGACTAATTAAATTAGTGCAATTGCACAGTTATATCTCAAAAACGGAATCAATTACAAAGCAGACTGAACTCTTCTCTCTATCCCATGACTGTGTAATAATTACACCATTATTGTCAGCTGAATGCACTGTGCCATCAATATTTAAGTCTCATGAAAACTGCTGTAGTAGTTACAACAGATCTATATTTCTATTTTCTTGGCTGTTAAAGTCAATACTACTAGATTGCATGAAGATAAAATGCAGTAACTACATGAACACTGAATCTGAGAAATATGACTTTTGTGATTCAAATCAAATCAAAGTGCAGTTGTAAACACTCCTGTTTTCCTTTAATCTGTCACAGGACAGTTCAGGGACTCGAGACCAGTCATAACTCAATTTGGTAATAGCCATTAATCTGTTCTTTATGGTTTGAGAGGTTCAACCAAAGACATTTTTTTAGATGTTTTCTTTTGCTTTCCCTTTAGCTCACAGATTCAGGCTCGGTAAATATAAATATTGCTGTGCATTCTTTGAGGTCTTCATGGTCCGTTGGCTTGAGGTACTTTTTTCTCCAATGGCAGTGTAGCGGTAACTACCGCAAGGCTTAAAAAGAAGATGCCTTGTTAAATTTGAAAGGATTTTCTACACAAAAACATTAGTTGTACACAAAAACATTCACAGCTAAACACTATACAGTACCTTTCTATCATGTTGTTGTTATTCTGTAGCTCCCGTGCCACAGCCTCCATCTCATCCTTTAATCTGTTCATTCTGGAAACAGTTTTTTTGTTTATTTATTATTTGGAACTGATAAATGCTGTGTTATCTTCAATGCAATGACATACTTGAGAATCATGTGCTCATCATCTTTTTTCTGTCCATCCACCCCCTCAGCTCCTACAGGCTGCTGGAGAGCTCTAAGCACAGCTCTGTCCAGAACCTGCAAAGATGGAGAAGAACGTGGTCAGGACTCAGGATGCTCCATACTGTATCCAAGCTTTTTGTGGATCAGGAACTGTATAAATGTCTGACTTCAGAATAGTTTGTTAGGTTTAGGCAGAAAGATATGTGAATTATGAGCAGGAATTAAGGAGAGGATCATACCTGATATACCTGATGATTAGACTCTCCTTACTTATTTATGAATTAATTCTGAACTGAGATATTTACACAGAGAGTTTGCACACAAAAAAAAACTCATAAATTCATAATGAAATGTAGCAGTAGTTAAAGTCAAAACTAAGGTCAAAATAAACAATAACCACTGTGAAAAATACAAATCTGCCCTTAGACATTATTTCCAGATGAGCTTGAGCCCAGAGTTGGTAAAAAAACTAATTTATTGTGCAATTTTAACAGAGGCTGCGTGAGGAAAACATAGAAATGTTCACTTGTGTGAAGTCTGTGAAACACAAAATTTCTCTAACCTCCTCAGGGATAACTAGTTATGCCTGAAAAGGGCTGAACAGCCATGATTAGGCAGTCCTTATTGATTTGAATAATTATCATTTAAAATTGGAAGTGATGCAAGTTCCACTTGAAATTAATTTTACTTAAAATTCATAATGACTGTGCACAAGGCAGCATAATGAGAAATTTAGCTGTAGTCATGCTATACAACTAAAGTCAACACAAAAAAGGAGAGCTACTGTAAAAATGTAAATTCTGCCCTCACAGACATTCTTTTCTTTGGGATTGAGCCCAAAGTAAGACAAAACATTTTTGCCAACTAATTTGTTGTGAAATTTTTACACTGCCTTATTCAACTTTGGACAGGATTAAATCACAAAGTGAGTCTCTGAAACACTAAATTTACCTAACCTCCCCAGGGACAACTTGTCACGCATGAATAGGGCTAAAGACAGACGGTGTGTGTCTTTTGTGGAAAAAAGAGGGCTGACCTTGTTCTGCTGGGCCTCACACACATGCAGATCCCCCATCCTCTGGCGGAGGACAACTCCAAAATGCTCTAGACTTGCCTGCATCTCATAAAGAACCCTGCAGAAACAACACTCACATGGTCATCTGCATATGTTGTTCTTTGACTGCTTTTTTGCTGCTTGGACAAAACACCTTTGACAGTAATAAAATGTGTATCAAATATGTTTGACATTAGGGCCCATACATAATGTGATTAAATGGTGTATTCTCAGTCCATGTGACCTCTGTCATACCTGTTCCAGCTGCCAGCAGCCATCAGAACATCCTGGTATTTCTGCAAACAGTCATCCTTGAATAAACTCTTGACCTTCTTTATGTATAAAGAAAGATTGAGCCTGAGCAGAAAACAGTCGTTTCTCAGTTTAATCACTGTGAGAACGGGCACTCATTCAAGATGCTCCTGGTGTTTAATACTTACTTCTCAAACTTGTGAATCTGTTCGTCATTGTAGCTGAGCTCTGGGACAGAAAGAGAATAAATTAATAGCAGTCAGAGCAGTCATTTGAAAACATCAACCCAACACCGTAGTTCTTTTTTTCTGTGCGACTGCTCAAGATAAGCACTATTTTAGCTGACTGGCTTCTCTGCAGCGTCACATCTAACATTCTCAATGCAGCCAGGCATATTCTTCTGTCTCCATGCGTGCCTGTCTGGAATGGTCCGTACTGTCAGATAAGGCAGCACAACAGTGCCTCCCTTCCCTGCAGCGCAGTACTGAGAACTAATCTGACTAATCTCAGCACTGGCTCCACTCATCAAACCCCCAATGTAGATTCATCTGTAATTTGTTGTGTTATATTAATATGAGAGAAAAAACATGCATCCAATTACTTCCTGTCATTCTGTCTTTGCAATACTGCTGATGTACTGCAACAATCTTCCCCAATAAAACCTCCATCTTCTGGATGCTGCATTAAGAGGAAGAAAAATCAATTTAATTATTAACACAGGATTAAAATGTAATAGATGCATTTTATTTATATGCAAATGTATAGATTTTAATCAACCATTTGAAGCATACATTTTTTATTTTTTTTTTGGAAATAATTTAGAATTAACGAATGCTTGCATTTTTGTTTATGTTATACATGTGATAATATGTGATGTTTATTATTGAATTCAATTTACAGAACGAGTTAAATCAACATTTGGACAAATACTGTGCTGAAATGTTTTACTATGTTATGGCACTGCAAGATAAATGTTATCTATAGTTTTTAAGTTTATTTTCAAGGTTTTTCAATAAAAATAAAATAAGAGAATTAAGGAAAATCCCTTGGCACCAGGATAATGATTTAATACAATGATGAATACGTTTGAAAATAGTAAACTGTATCATTTTCCCCCAAATGATCCTAACAGGTTGTGTTACCTCTTATCCTGGGCCAGTGTCTCGGAGTGTTTAGACAGCATCACATGCAAATGCTGTAGTTGATTCTGGAACTCTCTGACTCCACTGCCATACATCCGCTGCAAATCCTCTTCAATCTACACACAATGATAAACCTCAAGGATGCAAACTATTGTGTGTTCTAGTTCATTTATTCCAGGGCTGTCCAAACTCGGTCCTGGAGGGCCGGTGTCCTGCAGAGTTTAGCTCCAACTTGCCTTAACACACCTGATTGGAAGTTTCTATGCCTAGAAAAAGCTTGATTAGCTGGTTCAGGTGTGTTTAATTAGGGTTGGAGCTAAACTCTGCAGGACACCGGCCCTCCAGGACCGAGTTTGGACAGCCCTGATTTATTCAATATACATTTCACAAAGCACAACTCTTACCAGTGGGAGTTTTTTCTTATTGTCTACAAAGTCTGGAAACTCATGCGCAAACCTCTGAGCACTGGTTGGGAATAATCAAGAGACATCCATCACTAAATACCTTACTACATATAATGCTTATTAATCTAGAGTAAGCATTAGATTCATGATACCATGTAGTAAACTAAAACACAAATTCAGTCAGTATCTCACTGGTGGGTTCTTACAATAGATGGAGATGCTCCTCAGTGCTGATAGAAGAAAGCAGCTTCATATTCACCATGGCAATCCTGTGTGCCACATTACTGCATTCAAAACCGGTGTTTTCTCTGAAAAGTCAAGAATATTGTTATTGGACACACTAAAATGTCAAGATCAGGTTCGGTTTTCTTGTGACAATATAATCACTCTAAGTGATTATATAAGAGCTCACATGTAGCTATAGAACCCCTGCTGAATCAGTTCCCTGTACTTCTGGAGTGAGCAGGCTATCCGCAGGTACTGATGGATGACCCCGACAATGGTCTTTAGGAGGAACGAAAACAACAGGACACAGTGTGAGGCTCAGGGATAATGGTGTTATAATGTTCACCAAAAATAAGCACCAGAGATAAAAACAAAGAGGCTTGCTTACCTTGGAGAAGGTGTAATCTGCCATGACGTCAAACTTTGTGGGCATCGCAGGGGCCTCAGCTACAGAAAAAATGAAAAAAGAAGGGATGTCGGAAGAATAAACAGAGACAAAGTTACCTCTGTAAATGTTACCAATTTATTTGTGAAAATACATAAACTAAATTACACTGAAAAACATAAACTTGAGACTTCAGGGTTTATAAAAATGGCTCATAAACTTGGCATTGTGACATCAGGCACACACACAAAAAAAACATTTATTATGACCGTACGTTCTTTGTATGGATGGCCTACTAGTTTCTCTGGTCGTCGGCTGATGAGAATGATAGGGCGGTCTGGAGTGGTTAGGGGAAGGTTCACTACTTTCATGCTTGGCTCCAAGATGAGAGGATGACCCAGAAAAAGGTACTGTTGAGCTGCCAGTTCAATTCCAGTTTGGGCCTGAACATCCTCAAACAAGATTGAGACCCTTGAGGATAACAACAACAAAATATTTTGGAATCACTGTGAAAAGTAATTCAGCTTTATTCATACTTATATATAATTGTAGGTAATCATTTTTTTATTGATTTTAAATGACCATGTGGGGACCTACACCCAAATGGGCAACTGTATTAAAAAAAAGAACCAGAATTTCCATATACAGCAACCTAAAAATGTACTGGGCCACATTTGAATGAAGTTGCATGGAGTACTTCAGCTTTAGTTGCTGTAGAGAAGAGATTAGAAATCTCTTCTCGAGGAGCCCACATACGTGTTATGAAAGTGGATGTAGATGTTGTGCGCTGTGGCTTGCTGGAGAGAGAAGATGTGGACCGTGATGCAGTGCAGAATGTCAGTGGTGGCAACAAAGAACTGGACGAAGCCCCAACACTTCTCCTGATTGGCCTCTAGTATGCTGGCCAACACTGGGACCAGCTGGGTCTTTAAACCCCTGCGAAAAAACAGAGCCGTTGGTCATGTGCTACCAAGAGGCTTCAGCGTTCAAAGAACTATCAAGGATTTCTTTCAAGGATGTTATTCATGATGAATAAAAGCATGAAACTTAAATGAGTCACAATAGATGCCTATTTTTAATTTGACATGAATGAAAACAATCCAATGAGCTGTTATATTGTGGATCTTGGTGTTCATCATTAAAAATTTCCAGTAGACAAAAAACTAAGGCCAACATGAAAATTAGACATGACTTAGGACCTTAAAGACCCATTCACACTAGGAACGATAACTATAACAATAGTAGTGTCCATACACTGACAGATAACATTGTTTATTATATGCATGAGCTGCAGTTATGCAGTTTTTATTGTTCATTGGCTGAAAAATTATTATGATTTTTTGATTATTAATCAATGATTATTAAAGGGGTCATATGATGCTTTTTTAAAGATCATTATTTTGTGTATTTGGTGTAACAGAATATGTTGACATGCTTTAATGTTCAAAAAACACATTATTTTTCAAATACTGTACATTATTGTAGGTCCTCTATGCCCCGCCTCTCTCAAACGCTTCGTTTTCTACAAAGTCCCTCCTTCCAACAAGCACAGTCTGCTCTGATTGGCCAGCTGACCCAGTGCATTGTGATTGGCCGAACACCACAAGCACTCGTCGGAAATGTAACGCCCCTTACCATAATCGCGAGCTTCATCTTTCAAAATAAATGTAAAGACAGTAAATAATGTCATTAGTTTTACCATCAGTTCAAGCCCGAAAGGGGAACAGACACAGTAATGATGCAGTCAGGGCCGTTTTAACCATAGGGCTAGGCGGGGCTGAAGTCCCGGGGCCCGAGCAAGGAGGGGGCCCGTGATTGGCTGTGAAGTAGATTGACTTGACCGATCGCCAAAGCCACCACGCCCCTGGACGAACAGAATAGTTCATTGTAATATTAATACTGCTACATAAATAATTATAATTAATTGTAATTATTTATATACATTTCCCTTTTGAGCTAATTTGCTACATCAGATAATATGTTTATTCACAGACAGATTAAAGTAACCACATCAAACACCTGTGCACATTTCTGATGAGCAACTGCACGTGCTGTATTTTCTGTGAATCATTGAATACAGAAAGTGGCACCTTTTGTTTTGTTGAGTTTTTTTTTCAACATTAACCAATGAAAGAAATTAAACAGCATTTCCTCCTTACCAGATATTCCTCTGTGCCATATATGGACACAAACTTCTCATCGTCCTCCAACTCACGAGCAGCACCGAAGTCCGTCAGCTTGTACACCGAGCGTCCATCCTCACCCACTTGCCTCATGATATTGCCAGGTTTGATGTCCCTGTGCACCACCCCATTCTCTCGCAGGTGGTTCATTCCTTGGACTGTATATGAGCAAATAGGAGAGAGACAAAACCTGAGTAGAGCTCCATTTAGCCACAGTAATGCCTCCCAACAGGTGCATGAGTAATGGAGTGGAAACTGATTTAACTACTTAATTTCCTCTGTTGGTTCTTACCCACACAATGTAATACGATGAGGAACTCTGACTCAGGAAGTCCAAACGCATTCTCGGGCTCCTCTAGCAGGTTCAGCAGGCTGCCACCTGAACAGAACTCCATCACCAGAACCTTCTGCTTCGGGTTCATATGCATCTGACATGCACAAGAATAGAAATGAAGGCAGTGTACTGAAAATTCACCTCTCAGATCTGTGATCTATTTTTGGTGGGGAGTCAAACAAGTTTAACAGAATGTATGGAAATGGGGTATATGTTGAATGTCACCTGCTTGTCTGAGAAATTGTTAACAGCCATATGAACTGATTACAAACTACTTTTTGTTTTTATTGTTGGCGTTTTATTCTATTTTAATATCCAAGGGTTAGTGAAAAGACTAAAATAAAATAAAAAATTATTATTATTATTACTATTAGTAGTAGTAGTAGTATATTGTTATTGTTTGGAGGTCAGTAAAACTATTATGCTCACCAAGGCTGCATTTATTTAATCTAAATACAGTAATATTGTGAAATATTATTACAGTTTAAAAATTATCTATTGTAAAATATGTTAAAATGTAATTTATTTATGTGATGTTAAAGCTGAATCTTCAGCAGCCATTACCTCAGTCTTCAGTGTCACATGATCTTTCAGAAATTATTCTAATATACAGATTTGTAGCTCAATAAACATTTCTTATTACCAATGTTTTGTTGAGACCATTTTTTCAGGATTCCTTGATGAATCAAAGGTGTGTTTATTTACAAAAAGCATTTGTTTAAAATAGAAATATTTAGTAAAATTCTAAATATCTTTAAAGACTCTCCAGTTCCTTGCTCAAAAAAATTCTTTCAAAATAAAAGCCCAGACATTTCAATACAAATGGTTGCAAAAGTATTATCACCCTTATTTTATGCTATTTCTAACTGTAAAACCATACAATGAGCTGTGTACTAAAGTTGAATAATTATCAAATTGGGTAACACTTTAGTATAGAGACCAGTTCCCGCTATTAACCAGTTGATTATTAGCATGCCTATTATTAACATATTAGCTGTTTATTAGTACTTCTAAAGCACATATTCTGCATGACCATATTTTACATCCCTAATCCTAACCAATACCTAAAGTTAACAACTACCTTACTATTAATAAGCAGCAAATTAGGAGTTTACTGAGGCAAAAGTTGTAGTTAATGGTTTGTTAATGGTGAGAATTGGACCTTTAAATAAAGTGTGACCAAAAGTTGGCTAAAAATATCCCTGACATAATGCATCATGAGAAACTCAAACATCAAAGTACCATCTGAAAAATCAACAGTACTGTGGCTGGAAAATCTTGAACAGCGTCACAAACCACATCAGATACGTACCTTCTCCACAGCAAAGAGTTTAACAATGTTGACGTGATTGAGTTTCTGCAGCACCTCAAACTCCCTCATCTGAACTTCATACGGCCTGTTGTAGCTCACCAAGTTAAAGACCTTCACGGCAACCAGCTCACCTGTTTTCTACACCAATATAAAGTGTCATTTAGCAAAGTATGACCTGTCTATGACCTGTTTAAGTAATGAAAATTGGGAAAACTGTAATAATGATAAAGTACTTTGTTTCGTGCTTTGTAGACGCTTGCTGTGGCCCCTTGACCAAGAACATCATCCAGCGACCAAAGGTGGTTTGCTGTACTTATGGTCATTGTGTTGACACAAGCGGATGACATGATCAGATCTGAGTATGACAGAAAAACAATCAAAGCTTCTCTAGTAAATATTTAATGCTAAGTTTCGTTCATGATTACCTGTCCTTTTTCTCAGAATAATTATACATACACAAACACACACACACACACACACTATATATTCATGCCTACTGTATGCTAGACTGAACGTTTTGTCTATCTCTAATGTCATATTATCCTGAGTTCATGTAATATGTTAATCATGTTGCCAATGAACTCCTGGTTATTACCTTCAAACAGTATGTTAAGTTGAATGAAATTAAGATTTAAGTGCTTTATTTTTAGTTCTAAACATAAGGTAAACAGAATCAAGGTACGTATTTTTCACATCCAACCATTGTTGAATTAAAGGGGTCATATGATGCGATTTCAAGTTTTCCTTTCTCTTTGGAGTGTTACAAGCTGATTGTGCATAGATAAGATCCCTGAAGTTGCAAAGACTAAAGTCTCAAAACCAAAGAGATATTCTTTATCAAAGTTAAGACTCTGCCACACCCCCCTAAAACAGCTGG